TTCCTATCATATATATTTCATAACAAGAATATTATGGGTATCTCACTGAAGGTATGTACAAAAAAGACATTCCAAAAACCAGAATAACTTGTGCTCCAAAGTGTTGATATTACTACTTTTCTTGGGACACAGCGTGGCCAGCATTCTAGGTACCTCTGAGAAAAAAGCAGGGGGGCAGAAAACTGCTAAGCAAGTTTGAGAAAATCCACATGGTGGCTTGGGGCAGGGAGCAGACAGTGAGAGTTTAACCACCATTCTAAACATTTGGAAAAATATCCCATGAAGCAACTAGAGTCACTTAAGAATTAAGGGTAGTGGGGTGACTGGTTTCATGGTTTCTAGTAGCTTTTTTATCCCCCCTCTCTAACAGAACAGGGCTTTTCAAAGGATATCTCTGCAGAACTAAGATAATAAAGGTAAAAACCATGAACACATGCACTAGTTGAAAATACTGTATTTCCTTGTCAGAAGGCTCCTCAAATTGGTCCTAGCCATGGTTTGAAAAAAACTCTCCTTTCTTTTGGCTGTGAGAACAAGGATGGAACTTTGATTTATATTTATTTTTATTTACAAGGAAATAATTTACCATTATTTAATATTCAGATTGACACTGGCTCTCTCTCCCCCAGTGCATGTGTCCAGAGGTCACTGGCAAACACTGACATATTTCCTGTTCCTTGTACCTAATCTATTAAAGTCATGTCAGGATTATGAAGAAAACACTATAAAAATATTCAGAATTGTTTCCCTTTTTATGCCTTGTCTTGTTTCACCTATTTAAACATTCTCATATTTGCACACTTAAACTTTAAAACTAACACTTTATAATAAGTTTTAAAATCATCCCACTGAAGAGTTTTGGTGTTTTTAATGAGATTTTTAAAATGGAAAAAAAAGTTCTTTTATATTTATTCATATATTTACCATTTCTGGCATTCTTCATTGCCTTCCAACTGCCTTCTGCCAAAAATAACTCATTTTAACGTTTTTCTGTAATACAGCTCTACTGGTAATGAGTTCTCTCAGACTTTGAAAGTATTCATTTTGAATCCATTTTCTAAAGGTATTTTTGCTAGGTACAGAACCCTGGATTGACATTTATTTCATTTCAGGCTTTAAGCTTTTCTCTTTATAACAGGTTTTCATCAAATTTATTACGATGTGCCATAGTTTCCTTTCTGTTTCTTCTGCCTGTAGCTCATTAAGCTTCTTGGATCATTAGGCTTATTGGTTTTTTTTTTTTTTACCAAATCTGAAAATGTTTCAGCTATCATTCCTTCAAATATCTTTTTCTGTCCCCACTCTCTTCACCATCTTTGTGAGGTACTCCAGTTACACATAAGTAAGACTACTTGATATTGTCACTCACGTAATTTTCTGTTCACTTTTTTCTATACATTTTAGTTTCTATTGCTATGTCCTCAAGTTTACCAAAATTTTCTTCTGTAGTCTCCAATCTGCTAGACATTTCATTCAGTGTTTTTTATTTCAGATATTATACTCTTCATCTCTAAAAGTTTAATTAGAATCTTTCTTATATTTTCCATTTCTCGTATCATCATATTCATATTTTCTTCTACCTATTTGAGAAATATTTATAATAGCTGTTTCAATGTACTTGCCTATTATTTCAACTATTTCTGTCATTTCTGGCTCTGTTTCTACTGACTGAGTTTTCTCTTGGTTACAGGTTGCTATTTTCCTGCTTCATGTATCCTAGCAATGTTTGATCAGATAATGAACACTGAATTTTACACTCTTGAGTACAAGATTTTGTTATATGTGTTTAAATTGTATTGAATTTTATTCTGGAATTAGTTAGCTCTGTTTCCCAGGCAAATGAAGGGAAGCCTTTACTCTAAGTTGATACATACTCTTTTATGGTCTCTAATGTCCTATATATTATGAGATCTTAATACTCTGGGTCATGGGAACATGAACTATTTGTGAATTACAGAAGATGCTTCGCCTGTTGCTTTCCAGCAGTTATTTCTCCAGCTATGGAAGTTTCCTTCTACATGTGATCTGTACTCAATCAAAGCCTCATGGTAAGCTCTATACAGATCTCAGTACTTGCTCTGTATAGTTCCCTTCACTCTGGCACTGCCCCCTCATCCCCGTAGCTGCCTTGATCTCCCTAACTCCTATCTCTTTGTCCTCAACCCTGCAGGAACAATAGGCTTTCTCCTTTATGCTGCCTGTAAACTGCTTCTGGGCAATAAGCTGGGGTAATTATAGGGATCACCTCATTGATCTCCCTGTCTCAGTAATCCAGTCCAATGCTGCCTGATGTACAATATCTGGAAACCACTGGTTCATATGTTTTGTCCAGTTTTGTAGTTGTTTTACTCAGGAGTGTAAATTTGGTTCCTATTACTCCACCATGGCCAGAAATTTGAACAGATAATTGTAATAAAAATGCATCACCTTTCATTTTGTTTATAAGATCAACTGACAGATTTCAGGGAACATGGGAAGTTACGATCTGAATTTTAACACAACTGCTGCCTACTTGATGGAGAAGACTATAAAAAAAATCATGATGTAGATAATGAAGCCAACAACATACTTCTTACATTTAGTTCTACATTCCTCGACAGGATGAGTTTTTCAGGTAGGACAGATATTATAACCAAGTACTAAAACTGATCCAAGACTCCTACTTAACGATAACTAGATCACAAAGAACCGATCTGAGAGTAAAAAATAGTTTAATTAAATATGAATTATTTTTGCATCATAAATAAAAAATTCTTAAATGTAAAAAAGGGAATTCAAAAAAAAACTTCAATGCTGAGCACAGTCCACAACAAAAAGATGAAGCTATGAAGGTCCATGACATATTCAGCGAACAGTGAGTGTTTGCTGCATTTAATGAATGAGTCAGTTGGAAGATGATACCAGAAATGTAATTTGGGGGTTACAGGACAGCCTCAAACTCGGACTTTGATTTTGATCTGAAAAATGAAAGTCTTTTCAACATATGGTGCTGGATCAACTAGATATCCACATGTAAAAAAAAAAAAAAGAATCTGGACAAAGACCTTAACAGCCTTCACAAAAATTAATTCAAAATGCATCATAGACACAAATGTAAAACCCAAAACCCTAAAACTCCTAGAAGATGAAAGGAAAAAATCTAGATGGCCTTGGATATGACCATGACTTTTTAGATACACCACCAAAGGCATGATCCATGAAAGAAATAATTGATAAACTGGACTTCAATAAAATTAAAAATTTCTGCTCCTCAAAGAAGACAAGCCACAGACTGGGAGAAAATATAAACAAAAGACAGTATCTGATAAAGGACTGTTACCCGAAATAAAACTCAACAAGAAGAAAACAACCTGATTAAAAAATGGACAAATGACAAGTGATTACACTTGTTCAATATCATATTTCATTAAGGAATTACAAATTAAAACAACATTGAGATACCACTACACGCCTATTAGAATGGCCAAAATCCAAAACACTGACAACACCAAATGTTGATAAGGAAGTAAAACAACAGAAACTCTCATTCATTGTTGGTGAGAGTGCAAAATGATAAGGTCACTTTGGAAGACAGTTTGGCAGTGGCTTACAAAACTAAACATACTCTTATGAACATACTCTTAAACATATGATCCAGAAATCCCATTCCTTTGTATTCACCGAAATGAATTAAAGATAAGTCCACACAAAAACCTGCACACGCATTTACAGCAGCTTTATTCATAATTGCCAAAACTTGGAAGCAATCAGGATGTCCCCAGGTAAGTAACTGAATAAATAAACTGGTACATACACAAAACAGAGTAGTAGTCAGTACTAAAAACAAATGAGCAAGCAAGCCATAAAAAGACATGAAGAAATTTTAAATGCATATTAAGTGAAAGAAACCAATCTGAAAAGGCTACATACATACTGTATGATTCCAACTATATAACATTTTAGAAAAGGCAAAACTATGGAGACAGCAAAAAGATTAGCGGTTACCAAGGGTTGAGGGGAGGGACAGATTTTTAGGGCAGTGAAACTATTCTGTATACTATAACACTGGATACATACATACATTACACATTTGTCAAAACCCATAAAATGTACAAGGCCAAGAGTAAACCCTAATGTAAACTGTGGACTTTGGGTGATAATGATGTGTCAACAGAGGCTAATTATAACAAATATACCCACTCTAGTATAGGATGTTGATAGTGGGGGGGGCTGTACATGTGAGGAGCCAGGGTGTATATGGCAATTGTTTGTACTTTTGGCTCAATAGTTCTGTAAATCTAAAACTGCTCTAAAAAAATAGTCTATGTAAAAAGAATGCCCCTGGCAACAATGTGAACCAGACAAGGGGCTAAAGTGAGAAATCAGTTAGAGGATGTAGTACTTTAAGTAAAACACAAGGATGGGTTAAACTACAACACTGGCAGTAGAAACAAAAGCATTCTAAAACTATAACCTAATATATTAGAGACAACCATTGCAGATCTTTCTGTACAAAGAGAAGACATATTTTCTCCAAATAAATAATGAGTACTCTTTTTCACAAAATACATGTGGCACCTTGAAATAACTTTCCAAGTATACATGACAAATACATGCAGTAGGATTAAATAATACATAATTATTTCCATGAGTAGGAACTCACTCTTATACTAAGGAATTTTTTTTTAATTTAACTAAAACACTGTAAAAATAATACATGTATAGTTTTTCAAAGCTCAATTTTCTTATATATTATTTGAAATAACTGTGATTAAAAACTACATCCTACTAAAGTAGTGCCTTAATTTTTTAATGAATGTATGTTATCAGTTTGAGTGAAAGCTTAATTTCCTATCAATCTTGATAAACTAGTCCTTCCCAGAAAACACCAAGCGCTGCAAAATAATGAACACCTATTAAAAAATCACTGTAAATGACTCAGTATGAAGATACATTTTTCTTTCAAGTGACAATGAAAAAAAGAACTATTTTTGGGGAGGGAAGTAGAAAATCAGCCTCACCTTTTTCTTCAGGCTTTAAAGGAAAATACTTCTTTTCTGCTGCTATCAGCTCAGGCTTCGGAGCTGGGGAGAAAACAAAGTTAATAATTTTGTTAAAAAAAATTAGTTTTAGAGCCGAGAGACAATTACACTCCTAAAAAGTAAAGATCAGTTTAAAGACAACATCAGATAAAAACATGGTTTAAGAGAAAGAACAATGTACCAGAATCATTAGGCTCCATTTCTAACTCTGAACCTGCCGCTATTACCCTAAGTCATAACTCTGTGGTCTCAGCTGCTGCTTTGTCAAATTTAGGTGTTAGAGTTCATATCTTCTACCACACCGCAGTCCAGCAGAAGTTTCTTTCTATGATGATGAAAATATCCTATTTTTGTGTTTTACGATACGTGACTGAGCACTTGAAACATGACTCCTGTGACTAAGAAACTTAATTCTGTATTTTATATTTAATTTTAAAAGCCCTATGTGGCTAGTGGCTACCTTACTGAAGAGTACAGCTTCATAGTAAGCCTCCAACACCAGCTTCTATAAAAATTACTTTTATTTTATGCTTTCCTTCCTCTGGGATTAGGTCAGCAAATATAAAATGGAAATCAAGAAAGAGGGAAGGACTTACATTACTCTAAAAAATATCAAATCTTTCAAGAAATAAAATACTATACATGTAAAAATCAGATATTTGGGGGCAGAAGTCATGGAAATAGAGAGCCAGATCATAAAACTTCAGCTGTGAAAAACACTTCTAGGTGTATCATAATTTACTCAACTGTTTTAAAAAAAAAAAAAACCTCATGCACTTTTTATTTAACCCTTATAGCATGCTCTCTGAAAGAAGAGTACATAAATAACTAGTATCTGTTTAAGACATTAACAAATGGATTTCATTTGAAAAGGTAGAATAACTAACTAAATAGGTCAATATATTAAATTTTCTAAACCAAGTTTAAACTTGATCAATTTCATTAACTCAAACTTACATATAACTAATGTATTCAAATTATTTTCAAGATTACCCTTTTATACCACTGGTACTTATTAAAAAAATGACAGACACTAACGTATGTGAACACTGAATTTTTATATATTCCTAAAAATTTTTATATACTACATCATACTTGTTTTCGCTAATAAATGTTAATGGTTTAAATTAAACCCAATTTTAAATTAAACCCTATTTTATCATTTAAAAATTTTAAAATATGAAAAATAGCTAAATAATGTGTTTCTTACATACCTGGACCCTTAGCAGGAGGTGGTGGCTTCTTTGGTTTCTGTTACAATAACAATGGTGAAAAGAGTTGACTGGTTATATATTAAATATTTATAGTTAAAATAAATTCTGATCATTAATAATCTAAATTATATGAACATCTCTCCTCATCCCATCCTTGCCAAAAATTATAAAATGCTAAGATACTAAGAACTCCAAGAAAGGTCACTGACAAAAATTCATTCCATTAGAACAAATAGCCTCTATCACTGGATTATGAACATCTCTCCTCATCCCATCCTTGCCAAAAATTATAAAATGCTAAGATACTAAGAGCTCCAAGAAAGGTCACTGACAAAAATTCATTCCATTAGAACAAATAGCCTCTATCACTGGATTGGATGAACCTAAAAAATCTTAATAAGCAAAAATGTTCTATTTTGCCTCCCATAGTTTAAGATTCCTAAGCACCATTTTATTCCTTTTTCACAGCTGGGAGGACAGCGGGGAGACTGACAAAACAAGGAAGAAAGTGCATTGTTTTTCGAAAAAAAAGAGTATCAATAAATACACCTAGCCTTTTACTTTTATTTCTTCAAAACTCTCAAAGGCCTATTTTTCCTCAATTTATTAGCATTTTTTAGACTTAATTTAATGCCTTAAACAATGGAGATAAATTTCTAGAAGTATGTGAAATCTGGTTTTGCCAAATTAAGAATAACTGATAAGCAATATAGTATGAATACATAATTAAAACAGAAAAAATATTTATTAAGTATAATAAAATAAAGCATACGAAGGCTGAAACAATAATGAATACAACCTAGCAAAGAAAAGGCCTCAGACAACCTAAGCCTCCATAGAGTAATTGCCAATAATATACTTAACTAAGTGAAAGACGCAAAGGTTAGGGAGTTGTGCACTGGTTTAAGCCAAATGTTGTAGTCTGTCTTGATGTGTACTTCTGCTAACTCTTTCCCTCTATTTTAAAACTCAATTAGATTACCCCTACATGGGGGAAAAAAGGGATCAAGTTGTAGAAAGGCAAAAGAAGACTGATGAATGACTCAGCCTCACTTTATTCTCTCTGAGAAGTTATGTATGATATTAAATCCTGTAAGGGGACAAAGACCCTGTTTCTTGCCTTCCCAACACTACACTGACAGCATTATAGTAATGTCAACGGTTCCTTAAAATAAACTAAAGCTTTTCAACAACAGTAAATAAAAATACAATTTCTTCCAGGAAAGTACTAATTTATCCAACTAGTATAGCCAGCCTTTTTTTTTTTTTTTTTTTTTTTTTTAAATCATAAAGAAGTCTAAGGTTACTTTTAAGTATAGTCAGAAAGGGGAAAAGAGCAGGAATAAATCACAGAAGTGAAATACTGTTTTGTTTTACTATATTCAAATAACTTCTATCTGGATACATAAATCTGAAACTCCATTATAAAAATTATTCAATAACAGTGCAAAAAACCTGTTTTTGAAAAAATATTAGCAGAATGTTCTTTCAAATATTATCACCATTGAAAAACAAAAGCTTACTGGAAAGTCTTTATCCAGTTCATTTATCTGAACAGCAAAATTGTCTGGAAATACTCCTTCTTTACCATTAAGTTCACCTTTCCACCAGCCAGGTTCTCCAGTCTCCTAAAAAGCAAAACAAAGAATAATTAAGATAATAGGAGTTATCTTTAAATGATGAAAAAGTTTACAACAAAATAGGAATATACTGAATTCATTTTTACAAAACAAAAAAACAAAACAAAAAACCTAAACAGATCATAAGGTCCTCCTAAAAGAAAACAGTCCCCACACATTACTTTTAACAGTAGTTATAAAACTAGGTTTAGGGCCGACACCGTGGCTCACTCGGGAGAGTGCAGCGCTGGGAGTGCAGCGGCGCTGGGAGTGCCGAGGCTGCGGGTTCAGATCCTATATAGGGATGGCCGGTGCGCTCACTGGCTGAGCATGGTGCGGGCGACACCACGCCAAGGGTTGCGATCCCCTTACCAGTTAAAAAAAAAAAAAAAAAAAAAAACTAGGTTTAATTTTTTTAAATAAGTCCATTTTAAAATTCTATCTAAGTGTTCTCAGGAGGAGAGTAGAAAGGTAAAAAGGAAGTGAGGGTAGATGGTGAAGGGGGAAGGAGGGAGAGAGAAAGAGAGGAAAGGAGGGAGGGAGAACACATGTGAATTTCCATACTGTATTCTTCTTAACATTTTTCTTAACAATTTTTATACTAAAAATTAATCACATTATTCAACTGCTTTAGAAATTAACAATATCTTCTCAGTTCTTTCCCAGTGCCCACCCTTGTATGAAAATTTAGCCATCATCAAGTATGAATATTAAAAATTACATAGTCATACATTTCTGCAATTCATTCTAAATGAGTCGGTTTTAGCTGCTCTTGTCACAATAACAAGAAAATGGGTAACTATGTGAGATAATGGATATGTTAATTTGCTTCACTACATTAACCTTTTTACTATCCATATGTATCCTGTAACATCATACTATATACCATTTTTTCTTTTTTTCATATTGTATACTTTAAATATACACAAAATTTATCTTTTAAAAATTACTTACATTAAGCCATCTGATGACAAAGTCAATTAAAAACAATGGGAGACATTTCAAAATTTATTCTACAGGGTTACAGCAAAGACAAAGCATTTATAATTTTCCTATATAGGTTGAGTATCTCTTATCCAAAATGCTTGGGACTAGAAGTGTTTCGAATTTCTGACTTTTTTGGATTTTGGAACATCTGCATATACGTAATGAGCTATCTTGGGGATGGGATCCAAGTCTAAACACAAAATTCATTTATGTTTCATATACACCTTATACACATAGCCTGAAGGTAACTTCAAACAATATTTTTAGGATGAAACAAAGTTAGTATATACTAAACCAACACAAAACAAAGTGCCACTATCTCAGCCATCCATGTTGACAATTCGTGGTTGTTTGGCACCACCATCATTACTGACTCTGAATTTATACACTACTGATAAGCAATCATTTTCTTACATTCATTCACACATAAGTACGTAACAGTAAGAAATATGACATACCATTTATACAGTAAAAAAATAATGCATCTGTGTTACGGAATTTTCTACTTATTGTGTCATGTCGGCACACAGTATTAGATTTTGGAGCATTTTGGATTTCAGATTTTGGGACTAGAGATTTTTGACCTGTCTTATAAAGTTCTTAAAGGATTTTGCCCATGTCCAAATATTACTGGGTTTTCTCTTTATTTTGCCTTAGAATTCATTCCAAGTTTTAAATCACTTCATTCCTTTAAAGTAGCTACATCATTTTCCACAATCTAAAGAGTTTCATAACTATTTACATACTGATAGACATTAGGTTGTTTCCCTATTAATTAAAAAAAAAGGATGGTTAAAAATAATTCCCAGTATATCAATTATTACAAATATAAACAATAAAAGTTAGCTCAAAAAATAAGTTTCTGAGCACTCATTATGGGTCAGCTTCTCAGGGCCCAGAAACAAAAAGTCCCAGCTCTTTTTGACCCTACATTCTGGGGGGAATATAAAACTTGTGAAAAATGCTTCTATAAATAAATTAAATAACTTACTGAAAAACTGAGAAATACTTTACCTTACTTATCAAATGGATTATCTCCCCCTCTTTAAAAGTAAGTTCATCTTCATTAGTACCTTCATAGGCAAATAATGTTCTACAGTATTCCTTAGCTGAAATAAAGAATGTAAATAATATGGCTTATACAAATTGATTCACTTAACAAATACTTATTAAGCATGTATTTTGTGTAAAACACACTAGAAGTTATTAAAGATGAACTTAATAATTCATCTTTAAATTGTAAAATTTTAAACTTACAGCCAATACTGTATATTAAGTAACAATTTCATTAATCACATTCAAATATTTACTAAGTACCTGCTATGTTCCAGGCACAATTCTAACTGCAGGGGGCTATATCGATGAACAATGCATACCAAAATCCCTAATCTCATGGTGCTTCCATCTAGTAGAAATTAATATTCTGATCAAGTAGTATAGTGTAACAAATGCCTTTAACAAGTCTCATAACATATTTGTGTATGTTTCTACTATTCTTAATACAACAATTTTATTCAGAAACTTACCTTTAATTTTACCTTCAATGTCTGTTTTTGTTATCTCTGCACTCTGAGTTTTGGTTCCAAGTGACTGTACAATTAAGGGCTAGAATAGACAAGGATGGCATCAACTATTTTAAGTTAGAATAAAGATAATACTGTTAAAATTTCCATTTATAGTTATCCAACTTTCCCTACAAGTACTTACAGCCAGGTTAGTAATGTGACTGAAAACTCAGCAATGAAAAAGATAAAGATCTCAAAAGTTCCTTAAATGATAGCTTTGAACTACTAATTTTTAAAACTCCTTATCTTAAGGATAATAAACATACTATGATGCCGATAATACATTAATTTTAGAATCTCTAAAATAAATAGAAACAACAGCATTTGAGAACTTTGTGACTTAATTTTAGAATCTCTAAAATAAATAGAAACAACAGCATTTGAGAACTTACTACATACCAATCCCTGAGGTAAGCACTTTACATACATTATAACTTAATCCTCATAACTATCTGTACAAAGTAGTCATTATTATTCACCCCTTTTATAAATTAGCAAGTAGTTAAGTAACCTGCCCACAATAACGTAATTTAGTATTGGAGCCCAGATGTGAACCTAAAAAGTCTGACTCTACAAAGTGGGCTCTTAAACAACACTAAATTTAACCTTAAAATGAAATGGGGGGGTGGGGGGGGGGGCTGAGCCCATGACGCATTCGGGAGAGTGTGGCACTGGAAGTGCAGCAGCGCTCACGCCGCGGGTTCGGATCCTATATAGGGATGACCCGTTCGCTCACTGATAGGGATGACCCGTTCGCTCACTGGCTGAGCGCGGTGCGGCCGGTCTCAAAAAGGACAAAAAAAAAAAATTAGATAGGGGGAAAAAAACTCTTTATACTTGATTGCTATCTGAATGGCAACATTCAGGTAATGTTACAAGTGTTACAACCCTTATAATTATAGTCTACTAGACATTTTTCCACTGCAATTGTCTACAGTAAGTCCTTCACCATCTTATACTAGTATTTCCTTGAGTTCTCTTCCCAGAAAAAAGCAGTAAATTTGACCTTAGATTTCATTCATTAAAAATCTGAACACTGCTAATTTACCTAACACTGTGTTTTCTGTTTATCTTCTAAGATACTCATTTTAATTTCTCCCAGTTCTAATCACATCTTCCAATCTGTTGTCACCTACAAACATAGCAAATGTGCTCCCTACCTCATCAAGTTCTAGATCAGTGATCAAAGCAAACCTCACAAGGCCATCATGAAGGGTAACCCTGAGACTACTTCCCCTAATAAGTCTGAGTAGTGGATATTAATGGTAATAGAAAGATTACTAATGTAATCATTAATCAAATAAAGTTACACAATATAATCATAAACTTTAGAATTGGAAGGGGCACCAGATCATCTAATGTCTCTCATAATGCAAGAACTGCTTTTCCAACATTTCTAGCTATTATATGGCTAAACAGCACCATTTTAAAAACCATAAGAATTCCAATATTTACCTTTAAAATCAAAAATCAATTACACCTCATAATCTTAATGCCAGCTAGTATCAGAGCTAGGAGAGTGTAGGGTAGAAAAGTAGAATTTTGCTTTCCTGAACTCACTATTAATGAGAAAATACCTAGCAAGCTAGGAAAGAAAAAAATAACAAACTACCTTTGGAGAAAGCCTCAAAATATAATTCACTAACCAAAAGACAGTCTTGTAAATGAACTGTAGCTAAACTAAGCAAATAAATACTGAAATATTTTACACTCTTAAGAGTTAGAGAAAGAGATACAAATGAGAACTATAGGGGAAACACCACCCTGAACACCAAGGAAAAAGCCTCCTATCTGAAGTAAACAATCAGTCTTAATCTCCAAGGGACTGACACCAGAACAGTTTTGAAATAAATGTTCTATAGATTGTAGCTATTTTTCCACCAAAATAAAAACTAAAGGGGTTATTTTAAAGCCTCTTATTAGATCTTAAAATTTATGGCTCATTCACTTTGTTTCATTTCACAATACCAGTAAAATGCTAATGAAAAATAAAATCATCCATATATTCAGAGAGAGGTTAGAAAATTTAACCATTTTTGACAATCCAGAGGAAAGTTAAGTAGTGACTAATTAGCTTAATATCTCACTGTGAATTCATTTTAAAATGGCCTATTTTAGTTCTACTTCAAGTTAAAAAGTTAAAAGAAAAATTATAAAATTTTAACTTAAAAAGGCAAAAAAAGAAATCTTCCTTTTATTTTTATTAAACTGTGATAATTAAAAAACCTAAAGCTCCTACTAAAAAAAAGTTTGTGTTAAATTCAGCAAGAAACAAGCATTCTAATTTTATGAAATTCAAACATAAACAATCACCGTAAATTTAGAAAGTTTTTCACAGACTTCTCTTTCATAACCACATTATTAGTGATTTCAAAAACTGAAATGTAACGAAGTTGCAAACTGACTTTTACATTTTAAAAAATGCTTAATGAGAGAATCAGTGAAGTTAATCTAAGTCAAATTCTTCATTATTACCTTTTCTGTTTTTTTCTCTTCTGTTTCACTACTGGGTGTTCTTGTCCTAAGTTTCACAGAGCCTTCTTTAAAAATATCTCCAAATCCAATTCCTCGAATTTTCTTTGACTGTGTTATCAATCCAGATGTAGTTTCACTTCCATTCCCCGGAGAAGGTAAAGGTGAGGTAGGCCCAGTCAAAACAGATTCTGAAAGAATAATTTGTTTTTGAAGAATGACACCTAGAACCATGAAAATCTTGACATCCCCTTCCATATACACTCTATAGCTCCTACTAAAAAATGGTAGAATAAAAACAACAAATTAAATGACTGGCTACTAAAACATCCAAAAGAGTAAGATGTACTTTTTACTAATTTTTTTGTTGTTACACGTAGTACAGTAGCAAGTTTAATTTAATTGGTAAAATTTAATTAGTAAAATAATAATTAAGAAGTCCAGGAAATCATATCATACAAGGTCTTTAACAAGAGCATGTCAAATTTACAGCTTTTGGTCAAAGATGACATAAAATAAAACTGAAACATTTCTAAAGTTACCTAATTCAATCTGATCTAAGTTAGGGTGAATTTCTGAATACTAAAAACTGGGAATATTAAAAAATGTTTAAATTTTTTGAACTTGTTAAAAGAAGTGAACAGAACTGAGACTACCGGCGATAGGAAAGGGAAAGAGGGAGATGGGAAAGGTAGGAATTGGTAAAGGCCATGAAAATCAATTACACTGTATAATGATAAAAAAAAAAAAAAAAAAAAAAAAAAACCCAAAAAATTCAGAGATAAAAAAATATGTAACTCTGTACCCCATAAATATGTACAACCAATATGTTTCAACTAAAAAAATAAATTCCTTTTTTAAAAAAGTGCTTATTTTAAATAGTCAACAGTTTGAAGCCCTGTCCTTTTAACTCAGGGATGGAGTAACTTAAGTCTAATTTTAAAGTAGTCAGTGGAAATTTAAATTACTAAGTTTATGGGGAAGAAGACACAACAATCACAACAATTCCTTGAACTTGTTAAGACAAGTAAACAGATAGGATGTTGATGGTGGGGAGGGGGGACAGGTAGGCAGGAAAGAGGAACTGGTAAAGGGACATGAAAATCAACTACATTGTATATTGATAAATTAAAATTAAAAAGTTTAAAGAATGTTTAATAGTACATGGGTAAAAAAATTTTACATTCTTGCTCAGTATACAAGAGTTTTTATTTACAGCCTCAATGAGTCTATGAACCACTCGATGGAAAATTGTGTGGCTATTTTTTCAGAACATTTTTCTGAGTAAAAGAGGCACAGCCTTTACCAGACTTTCAGAGACCTTTATAATCTAAGAAACAAAGTTCTAGGGTAAATCATCAAGAAAATTCCTGAAACATTTCAGATAGGGAGTAAAGGGTAGGGAAAAATATATGATTATCCGTTCACTGAAGTATAACAGTAAGAATAATAACAAGGGTAATAAAAATAGTAGGGTTAGCATTTATTTTGGGCTTATTCTGTGCTAGGCACTTTCCTAAGCACTGTACATGTATTTCATTTAATTGTCCTAATTACCCCATGTGCTTATTAACATTAAGCACTATTACCCCTCATTTTACAGATAAGTAAACCGGGGCAAGGAGACATTAATAAAGTGTCCAAGGATCTGCAGGTAGTCAAGTAACAAAGCCAAAATTTGAACTGAATTCTAGATGATCCCAAAACCACAGTCTTAAACACTTTAAAGCTTCAAACCACAAAAGCCTCCAATCAAATATGTGAAAGTATGTTAGAAGTGATTTACAGAAACAACCTTTATTAACTTAAGAAATGTAATGCTAAAAAGTATAGTGTTCTACTCTAACCACTTTCAATATTAGCCAAAGCCACATAGAAGACTGAATGGGAGAAGATACACATATTTTTCTGTAATACACTTACACTTTTTAAAACAACTTAATTGAGAGAATGTTTACACACAAAAAGATGAACCCATTTTTTTTTTGGACCGGTAAGGGGATTGCAACCCTCTGTGTGGTCTGCACCATGCTCAGCCAGTGAGCGCACCGGCCATCCCTATATAGGATCCAAACACACGGCCTTGATGCTAACAGCACCGTACTCACCCAAGTGAGCCACGGAGCCGGCCCAAAGATGAACCTATTTTAAATGGACATTTCAATACTGTTTGACAACTGTATGCATCATGTAACCACAATAACCAAGATACAGAACAATTCTATTACCCCCAAAAAAGACAACTGTGAATTAGACCCACCTAATTCTTCCTAACCCTAAGCATCAAGAAACCTCTGGTCTTCATTCTGTCACTATAGATATGGCCTTCATAGAGTTTCAAATAAATCTAACCACATATAAGCCTTTTATGTCTACTTCTTTTGCTATACAAAATATGAGATTCATATATTCTGTTGCATGCATCCATATTTCATCCCTTTTTGCTGATTAGTATTCCACTATGTATATATGTTACTATGAATTTACCATTAAGAATAGTAGCTCCAAGTTTTTCATAGATGAGCATTATCAAATTTAGAAAGTTCCCTTCTATTGCTGTTTCGGACAGTTGTTATCCTATGTGCTGATATGTAAATTCTCTTTGTGCATCTACTGAGATGACCATATATGGATTTTCCCCTTTAAACTGTTAATATGGTAGATTATATTTTTTTAAACCAACCTTGCATGTATGGAATAAACCACATTAGTCATGATGTATTAACCTTTACATATTTTGCCAGATTTGACATGCTATTACATTATGAATTTGTTTATGTTCATAAGAGATAATGCTCTATAATTCCCTTTTTTGTAATGAATTCATGAGGTTTTGATATGGAGGTCATACAGACCTAAGAAATAAGTGCTTATTGTTACTTTTGAACTTGCAGATTTTCTTGACTGTCCGTCTGTTTTTTATTTCATCATTTTGTGCTGTTATTTCCTTCTTTCTAATTACTTCAGGTTTATTTTGCCCTTCTTTTTCTAGTTTAAGATAAAAACTTAGATTGATTTGTCTTTCCTTGTTTCCCCAATATCAGCATTTAAAGCAATAAATCTCCCTATAAGATGCTGCTTTACCTACATTGCACAAATTTTGGTATGTTGTGTTTCCACTTTTATTTCGAAAATGTCTAATTTCCTTCAGGATTTCCTCTTAATCCATAGGTTACTTACAAGTGTTGCTTAATTTTGAAACATCTGAGAATTTCCCGAGTATTTTTTTTTTCTAAAATAATTCCATTGTGGTCACAAAACCTATTCTATGATTTCAATCATTTTACATTCTCTGAGACTTGTCTGATGCCCCAACATATGGTCTATCTGGTGAATATTCCATGTATGCTTCAAAAGAATGGGTATTCCAGTGTTGTTGGATGAACTATGTTGTAAATGTTAATTAGGTCTACTTAGTTATAAAGTTTTTCAAGTCTTCTAAATACTAATTTTGTTTTGTCCCCTAGTTCTATCAGTTGTTGAGAGAAGTGTGTTTACATCTTATGGATTTGTCTATTTCTTTCGATTCTGGCAGTTTTTGTCTCATGTATTTTAAAGTTCTGCTATTGAATTATATTTAGAATTGCTTTCTAATTTGTATGAATTATCTCCATTATTATGACATGTCCCTTTTTATTCCATGGTAATATTTCTTTTCCTGAAATATACTTTTAATATTAATATAACCATTCTAGATTTATTATGCTTTGCACAGAATATCTTTTACCATCCTTCTTTTAACCTGTCTGTGAGTTTCTGAGAGACAACATTATTATCCAGCCTAGCAATCTTGGCTTTTCAATTTGTGTTTTTAGAACATTTACATTTAATGTAATTACTGATGTAGTTATGTTTAAATCCATTATCTTGCTACTTGTTTCTATTTACCCACTTGATCTTTATTCCTTTTTTCTCTTTTCCTGTCTTTTCTTAAAGTATTTCTTAGCATTCCATTTTATCATGAAATTATTATATTCCTGCTATGGTTTAAATATTTGTGTCTCTCCCTCCAAAATTCATTATGTTGGAACCTAAGACCCATATGATAGTATTAAGAGGTAGAGCCTGTGGGAGATGATTATGTCATGAAGCATCTGCCCTCATGGGTGGATTAGTGCCCTTATGAAAGTACTTCGGGGAGTGTAATTGTCCCATTTGCCCTTCCATCCCTTCTGCCATGGGAGGATCCACAGTGATCATCCCCTCCAGGGGACAGAGAAACAAGGTGCCATCTTGGAAGCAGGGATCAGTTCCTTACCAGACACTGAAACTGCTGGTGCCTTGACACCTCTCAGCTTCCAGAACTGTGAAAAATAAATTTCTATTGCTTATGAAATATCCAGTCTCAAGTATTTTGTTATATAGCAGCATGAACTAAGACAACCTCTTACAAGTTGCTCTAGACTTAACAATATGCACCTTTAACTCACCAAAATCTGTATTGAAATAAGATTATATTACTTCACAAGTAAGGTAAAAGCCCTATAATGGTACATTTCCATTTCACCTCTTCTGTATTTGGAGCTATTGTTATCATTTTATTTCTACACATATTACAAGTCAGATAATATATTATTCTTCTTGCTTTAAATAGTCAATTATCTTTTAAAGAAATTTTGAAATGCAAAATAGTTCATACTTATCCACATTTTTGCCACTCTTCATTCCATTATGTAGATCCAAGTTTCTATGTGGTATCACCTTTCTTTTACCCAAAGAACTCTCTTTAATGTTTTTTGTAGTGAAGGTCTGTGTGCAGTGAATTCTCTCAGCTATTTCTGTTTGTCTAAAAACTTTTTAAATCTCACCTTTATTCTGAAGATTATCATAGGAAACAGAATTTTGGGTTGACCAATTTTCTTCTTTCAAAACAAACTTGTCATTCCATTGTCTTCTGCCTTAAACAGTTTCTAAGGACATCGTCTTGTGATTTACATAGTTTCTGAAATTAATCTGTGGGATTCTTATCTCCATTCTTCTTTACTTGATGTGTCTTTTCTCCTCTGGCTCCTTCTCAGATTTTCAATTTATTGCTTGTTTTCAAACTCTGTATGAATGTTTACACTTTTTGCATTTGTGGGTTTATAGCTTGCATCAAATTTGGATATTTTTAGCATTAATTCTTCAAACATTTTTTCTGTCCACCCTCTCTCTCCTCTCCTTCTGAGACTCCAGCTATACCTGTTAGACC